CACCAAGCACAGCGACATGGTGCTGGTGTCTTCCCCTCAGCTGGGCTCAAAACTCCAGCTTAAACAGCCAGGCGAGTCCTGGGGGCGTCTCTCTGAACAGGCTCAGCCTGGTGCCAACGCTGCCCCGCTCCAGAGCTCCAGGCACGGGCTCAGCTGCAAGGCCAAGGGTGAGCCGGGACCAGGGCAGCCGAGCCAGGACGAGCCCTGCTCAAGCCAGTGGTGCTGGCTCCTGCCAGGCCCGGCACTGGGCGAGCTGAGCCGTCTCCAGCTGCGGGACAGGGAGCTCTGCACACCCCCGAGGGAACCAGCACATCCCAGAGAGGGGCCCCAGGCATGGACCCCCCTGCACAGGCTCGCTGGGAAACCACCCTCTGGGTGTTTGGGGGCTGGTCAGGGAAACAGCCCCGGGAAACCCGCAGAGGCCCGTTACCTTTGCTCATACACCCCACGTTCCTTCACAGCCTTATCCCCACTCAGCTCTGAGAGCATCCCCACTCCTGCAGAGCGGGCTGGGAGTGTCCCAGCTCAGGAGGATACAGCCACAGGTACAAACTCCCCTGGTTTGTGCCAGTGCCTGCCCTCACCTCTGCCAAATCAAGATCCCCCGGTCACCCCCGAGCTGGGGGTGAGCCCTGTCTGCAGCAGGACATATGGGAAGGGTCTTTCCACGCCGAGCCCCTGGGAGCAGGCACTGTCTCAGGCTCAGTCCCACACACCTGGCTCTGGGCAGCACAGGACAGCGGCCGCTCTGGGAGCCAGGGCAAAGCTCTGTGGGTGACACAGACTTTCTGTGCACAGAAAAAGGCTCCTCAGAAGGAACAGGCCCCACCAAAGTGAGAGAGACCACACTGCTCCAGGCAGGGGCCCCATCTGAGCAAAACCAACCAACTCTGGCTGTGGCACATGTCCTCTCCCTGCCCCTCCACCGTCCCTGTCCCCTCACCAGCTCGTGCTGCTCCTGCATCTGTGTGATTTTCTTGCCGTACTTCTGATCCACTTGTTTCAGCTCAGCGACCACAGCCTCACACTTCTCACTCAGCACCTTCTTATCGTCAATGAGCTGGGCAGGGTAAAGAAAAGGCATCAGGCAGGATAGAGCCACCTCCACCTCTGGCTTCAGAAGCACCAGTCTGAGCTGGGATGGGACATCACCTGGTCGATGAAGGCCAGATGCCTCTGGATGGCTGCCTCATACTGTTCTCTCTGCAGCCTGAGCTGGTGGCCAAGCTCCTTCTCGGTCTGTTTGACATGCCGGACAGTCAGTTCTCTCTGCTGAGCCTTTAGGATGCAGGGAAGAAATAGTCACAAGGCATTAGAGGGAGAAGTTACACCAGCCCCAGTGTGTGCACAGGAGAGAACTACCAGACCTGGAAGGAATTGTCAGGCCAGGACAAGGAGGAACAGAGCTAACACAGTCCCTGGTGCTCACACCTCCTGCCCCCCTGCCAGTGAGAACACCCAAACCCCTGTGGGACACAGGAAAAGGTTCAGCCCCGGTCCTGACCGAGGGCTTCAGGACTAGTCAGGCACCTGGCAGGGAGGGGAGTTTGAGGAAGGTTTTCAAATCAGGGGACAACGAGGAGAAATTGGAGAGAAGCCCCCAGCAGACTGGGAAGGACCTTGCAGATCTTTCCCACGCTGACAGTGACCGGGACTGCGGCACTCTGCAGTACTTTGCTGGGGACACAGATGGGAAACCCTATTCACAGGGCCCTGATCTTGTGCTTCGAAGCCTCTGCCCCAAGAAACATCTGCTGAGGGTCCTTGGCCTTCCTTTCCCAGCACGCCAGCACATCTGGCTCACACACCAGGGCTGTCTGCAGCAGGCTGATGGCTCGTTTCTTCTCCTCCACTTCCAGCTTCAGCCTCATGATGGAGCTCGTCACCTCTGTGGCAACAGCCGACGCCTGCTCCAAGTGAGCCAGCTCCTCTTCTGAGAGGAGACCCTGCCACAGCGAAAAAAACACGTTACAAGGTAGTGGGGACCAGCTGGAACCAGGACAAGGAGACAGGAGACCCTTCCCGTCCAATACAGATGGGTTCTCCCTCCTGCACTCACCTCTCGCTGCGTGGCCGAGGCGGCCGACCTGGGCCTCTCCTGTTCCGACTTCTCCATCTCATCCAGGAAACTGATAATGCTCTGGAGCTTGGCCTCCGAGAGCAGAGCCCCATCCTCAGGGACTCCCGGGGAGTGGTTCAGCTTCCCAAACTTCTCCAAGTTATCAGCAGTCAGGGAATTAGAGCTGGGCTCCTGCTGGACAAGACACAGCTGTGACACACAGCCACGCGTCCTCCAACAGCAGCCGGGGGGATCTTCTCCACTACTGGAGCCCAGTCCTCCCACTGCACCCCAGTAACCAGCCTTATCCTCCGTGCTCATCCCTCTCCTGACACAGCCCCCAGATGGTTTTGCTCCTCCTTGGCAGATGCCCAAGCCCTGGCTGCACCAAACTCCTCCACTGTCTTCTCTGGCAGCGAACCAGCTGCGTTTCTCACCCTCCAGCACCCAGCAAGCACTGGGAGAGGGCAGCCCATCTCACCAGGCAGCCATCGCCCTCCTTACCCCATCTATCCAGGCATATCTGTCCTTCTTCAAGAGCTTCGGTGGGGGAAGCAGCTCTGGCTCTTCCTCCAATAGCCTGAGGGTGTCCAGCAGCTCGTTGAGTGTGACCTTGGACTGAGCCCTGCTGACAGCGGTCGCCACCGTCTCCAGATCTTCACCGCCCATCTCTCTGGAGCTCACATCCTAGGGGAGAAGACAACACACCATGTGGCAAAACAGTTCACTCATGTCCCCAGAAGACATCAAAGGCTCCAAAGCCACCTCAGCAGAACAGCTGGTGCCAGGAGCCCCACAAGGCAAAGCCAGACCCACCTGCAGCTTGTCCTCAGCCTCGGGGTCCCGTGAGGGCGCGGAGCCAAGGTCTGTGAGGCCGCTTTCTTCTGGCTCTGCAGCTACCGACTGGAAATTGGCCTCTGCAGGAACCAGACTGTTCTCAGAACCAGCCCCTTCAAAGCAGCTCCCCAGAGTGAAGAACCACCCCTCCATCCTCCTCCTCCTCCTTCCCCCTCATGTCACAGGCTGCCCCAAAACCATCGGAGATCTGCAGAAGGGACTCACCAGCGTTGTTGGCTTTGGTGACGCTGTTGGCTGGACTGACATTCCTTGCAGAAGCAGGTTTGGCAACCTTCTTCTTTGCTACCCTTCTGCTCTCCTTCACCAGCGCAAGCTCTTCTTCTGCCAAGCACTTTGCATCCAAAGCCTTTTGGGCTCTTTTCTGGTGCAGCTCCTGTGGGGACAGACAAGCCATCAGCCTCCTGCCCAGCACACGGTGTGCTTTGACCTGCGCTGCTCGGAAGTTCAGTAACACTCAGCTGGCTTCGTGAGGCTCATGTTGGAAAATGTGGCTTCCCAGAGAAAGAGATTTCCATCTAAATACACAGAGAGCATTGCTGGATGTGTTGGAGAAGAAAGCAAAAGTGTTGGGTGGTGCCCTACAGAGTCACATATCTCTGACCATCTTTTTGTGGCTATCTAGGCTACAACAGCACAGAATTCTTCAAAGGATATTTTCCCATCACCATTTTTATCTGCATTAATTATGATTTTATCTACAATTTGCTGTAACTGAGCATGTTTGAGATTGCTCCCAACCATCACCTTCAGCATCTAGAAGAGGTCTCCATTTGAGATCAGAGAAACAGGATCATTTGGCTGGAAAAGACCTTTGAGATCATTGAGTCCAACTGTAACCATCTTTGTCTAGATCATAAATGCAAGAAGCAAACCTCAACTCTGCTCCTTTTCTCCTTTGACACTGAACTGGGAGGCTCCTTCTATAAATTCTTTGAAGTCCACTTCTCCATTTCTGTCTGTGTCAAATAAATGTATTACTTGACGTACTAATTCAGGTAAAGATATTAATTTTTCCATGCTCAGAGAATCAGAGTTGTCCAAATCAAGCTTCTTAAACCTCTTTCCTACTCATTTCATCTCATCAGCATCAAAGTGCAAGCACATTTCTAAAGGGCTGCTTGCCTCACGTCCCCCAGGGTGGGTGGGAGGGCTAGTGAAGGCCTGGGGGACAGTGACAACCCACGTGCTGGCTGCTGAAGGGTTAACAGGGAGAACTCTAGAGAAAGGGAAAGCACAGGAACAACAGCTCTGCTGGAGATGGTGGCCAAGGTCTTGCCAGCTCCACATGTGAAGAGGGCTGTTCACATGCCCTGCACAGTGTCCTCTGCTGCTCCTCAAGGCTCCCCGGATCCCGAGGGCTGAGCAGCACAGGATGCTGCAGTGCCCAAGGGGCTGCCTGAGAGGATTTTGGGAAATCATTTAAGGCACAAGCACGTGTTTGCAAGGCTGTTTTGCTGTCCTCCAGCTGCTGGCTGCTGTGTCTCCCTCGACCCTCGCCCCGATGAAACATGATTCCATTTAGGGCAAAGAGAAACTGGAGGGTTGGGTTTTTTAAAAAAAAAAAAAATTCTTCAGCTGTATTGTATCCAACATGCAACTCCCCCCAGCCTGTGCCAGGCCCCATCTGTGCCCCAGCAGCACCAGCACTCTCCTGCCACAAACGGGGCTGCAAGAAGAAGGTGAAGACAGCGAGGTGCTTCCTGCCAGCAGGCACAGAGCGATGCTCAGCCCACCCTGGAGGGACCCCGCTCCACAGGAGGGTCCCTTTCCCCAGGGCCCTCTCATCCTCAGCCACTCCAAGGAGCTGCAGTTACAATCTCCCTGTTTCACTGTCACCCTTCTCCCAAAAACTAGATGGAAACCAGCGCTGCCTTTGCAAGCTCTGAGCGAGCTGCCAAGGCTTGGCGGGAGCACAACGGGAAGCTGCTCTCTGGCACCTCCGTCTCCGCAGGGAGCACTCCATTTCCAAGCCTGGCTCTGATTCTGCTTCGTGCAAAGCCCCAGGAGATGCAGAGGAGAGGCCCTCTCGCTGCCTCACCAGAAGATGCCAACAAGCTGGTCTCATGTAGGCCACAGCGCCCTTGCCTTGTCCCTACCTGGATGGCAGCACAGCGGGCCAGGCGCGCCTTCTCCTCTCGGATCTTCCGGCGTTCCTGGTCCTTCCTCTCCTGCAAATCCAGGATATTCCCTTCCTCCATCCGCTGCTGCCTTTCCTTCCAGAGAGGAGGGTTAAAAACATTACTGAGAGCTCTCCAGCACCCACCACCCACAGCAGAGAAGGGGGAAAGGTCACACCACACCTGAGGTCACCCCATATCCAGGCTTTCCATCCCCCCAACCCTCCCCTCCATGCAGGAAAAGAGCCCTCAGAAAAGCTCCACGTTAGAGCAGCTTATTTTCTTTAGATCCTAAATGTAATTATTAGTCATCTGGGTCTGAAACCACCGAGGAGACAAGGCTTAAAAATAGACTCTCACATGCAAGAGCTACAGTACTTTTCGTTACTGGGATAAATAATTAAACACAAAGAAACACAAATAGCTGCAGATGACTCGTCACTCTCCGAGGAGCCAGCTCGTTACTGATTCGTTAGGATGAGCTGAGAGAGGGCATCCCTCCTCGGGCCACCAGCGTGTCCGAGACAATAAGAATTCAGCAGAATTTGTGCTACTACTGCCAAGCATCTGCCTGCTCCCCGCTGAAGGGAGCTGGTAGAGCAGAGCCTGTAGTGCTGAGCCCAGGGGCTCCCAACCTGAATTCCCCCTGGAACCAAACCCAGGCTTTCCCCCCACACAGCCAGCGCATCTCTGCAGGGATGGGACCCTCCCCGGCTCCCTGGGCCACGAGGGGCTGGCTAGATGCAAAGCAAAAGCCCCCCCCATCTCCAACAGCTCAGGTCTCAGTGACTAAAGGGACTCAAATTCCCCAGGTGCCTGAAGGGTCTGTGCTCCCAGGTGACAGGACTGACCTCTCTTTGGGAAGCCAACAAACGCCCCAGAGCTGCTGCTGCCGCCCTGTGCCGCTGCGAGTGACGTCGGTACCAGCGCTGGATGGTCACGGCGGCCAGATTGACCTGCTGGATGAACCTGTGGGGAAAGGGAGGGTCAGACCTGCAGGGAGAGGGAGGGTCAGCGTGGCCCCGGGGTCCTCCTTGGCCACCAGTTGGGTGGCACCACCCTGTCCTGCTGCAGCAGAGCGCAGGCTGCTCGCCCATCACACCCCAACTCAACGAGGCCTTTTCCCAGACTGACTTTTGAGGTGGGAGGAACTTGTGCCTTTGATGAGGACAACTCGAAGTGTAGAGCCACATCACAGGGAGGGTAAATCAGCCCCTGCAGGTGCACTAAGAGGGGCCCTTCCCAAATCTGGAGCCCCACTGGAGAGGAACAAACCAGAACCAGCTCCCCTGGAGCTCATCCCTCCACCTAGCACCATCCTCCTGGCTCTCCCCACCAGCCATCACACACTGGCTCTGCCTCACCTCTCCGCCTCCTCCTCGGTCACCTCCTTCCTCCGGGGCAGGCTGCTGCTGTTGTTATTGTGGGTCACGATGTTGTTGCTCGAGAAATTCTTCTGAGACTTCACAAAACTGCTGCTTTCACCATCCTCGTTCGAGGTCGCTTTGACAACGTTGCTAAGGGAGAAGATGATGACGA